GAACGGTATAGTTTGTAAATCTTGTTTTAAAACCCTAAAACAAAAATCAAATATCATGTAAATTAACATACCTATCTATTATTTAAAGAATCCCAAAGCTTTTTGTGGAGAAGTCTTTAATGCCGAAACCAAATGTAATGTCACCAATGAAACTTGAGGAGTGATGCCGATTTTCGGATTTATGGTTTTGAACCAGTACAAATTTTGAAAATGGATAACATGGAAAGATGAATCAGACGCACAAGAAGAACCCGAAGAATAGTTATTGCCATCTGAACAAATTGTATGAAAAGAAGCAGGTTGAAGAAGCAAAGGCAAGGGTTGAGAGGGAGCCGATTTGGGCAATGGCGGTTTGACCCCAATTCAATTTGGATAATGGCAGTTTATGTTTTTTAGAGAAGGAAAATGAGATAGATTTTGGTGGATTTTTAGCCAGATTTGTAGCCTATAATGGAGGGGAAGTTTTCGGGTTCCTATTCGACAACGAAGAGTTTCTCTGTCTAGTGTAGAAACGGCAAGTTACACACCGTTTATGATTTTTCAAAAAATAAGGATACAATAGTAAAATTGTCAAAAAGTGGACTTGAACCTAAACAAGTTTCCTTGCAGGACTTATCTCCAAACAAGTTCATCTACGGGGATTGGCCTCCAAATTTCTCTAAATTCAATTCATTTTCTTTTATAGTTTGGCATTGATAGATAAAGAATTTGCATGTTCTACATAGACCCAAAACACGATTTTTCAACCTGACAAAATTAGTAAAAATTTATTGGTATGAAATTGGACTTACTGAATTTGAGTTATCATGTGTTAATCCGTCATACTAGTTTAATAAATGGATTGATAGAGTCCGACTATAATGACACAAGGTTAGATTATTTAAAATTGGATAATTATTACAATTGGTCTTCAAATTTTTTCTTATGTTTTAAAATAGTTTTTGAACTTTCAATTGTCTTAATTTAATTTCTCAATTATCAATTTTGTGTCAATTAATTCATTCCGCCAATTTTAATAATAAGAACAAACGGAGATAAATCATGTGGGTGTTCACGTCATGTGTTGACTTTTGTTCTAGCGATTGAAATTAATGACATGACTAAATTAAGAAGAATATAGGAATTGAATGTTCTCATTCTGTCATTTCTTGCCTTGTTCTTTACTCATCTATGTGTGCTTAGATAGGACTATCAATTGTGTTAAGTGAGACGGCTTTGTGTTGGGCTTTAACGGATTCATGTCAAATTTGGTTCATGTCGTATATAAATTATTTATAACAAGTATATAGACTAGTTATGTCATGTATTTTTTTTTGATTCGCTTCACCCATATGACGATTCATTTTTGAATCGTGTTATATAAGCTCCACTTGTTTACAGAATGAGTGGCTTAAGGAAGACCAAAATCCTTTAATTTTATGTTGTGTTTGTATCGTGTCATATTTTGACAATCTTAATTCTAGATAACGAGTTAGATGAAAACATTGAAGTAGCACAAGTAGTTCTATATTTTTCGGCAGCAACTGATTAAGTAGGTTGAGGGTAAAATTAAGGCAATTGAAAATTTATGAACTATTTTAAAATGGAAGACAAAATTTAAGAACTAATTATGATATTTATTATTTAAAATGTAGAGTTTTTTGGAGGCCGGTACCTAGGCATAATAGGATTAAAAAAAAATTGGCTCGCCAATTTGCTTTTGGATTATGTTCATATTGAAAAGTCAAAGCAATGAACATAACTAACGTCCTTTAAAATTACAAAAATAACGACAATGTTATTGCGTATTTGAAACACCTATTTTAAAAATCTACATTATCATAATATACATTTTTCTCTATAAACACAGATCGTTAGATAAGTACACTAAAAAAAAATAACATGTTCTCGATTAACCTACCATTCACTGATAGATTAAGATACATTTACTAATAGCAGTTGAATTCAGTGTATTTTTAGAACAAATACATTGAGACGAGTTATGTCTTTTCGATTAATTACACAATTAATACTATAATAAATATTTATTTAAACCTCTTCATCTATCCCATAGAAAAACATTTATAAATAGCATATCAAAAAATTAGAGCAAAAACATAGAAAATAATAGATCAGTAAAGGGAGCAAAAAAAAAAAGTAACATAAAAATGCTCATAGGTTTCCTCAACGAAGCACAAGCCAAACATGGTCGCATGAAAAAAGATATCGACTATCTGTAATTCCAATTATATATGTTCAATAAACAACGAGACGAGTGGAAGGAAATGATAAAAAAATTCAATAGAAAGCTGCAAAAGGAAGGAAGAAGGCCAAAAAACTTGTGGCAGAGTTGGAGGACCTCAAAAAATGATCATCTATATTGTACCTTATGCTAAAAATAGAGCTCTTTAAATCTTAAAATATGGAAGTTACCTCATTACAAAGATCCTCATATGTACTACAAATTGTTGAGAGTAACCACCAAAATAACTGAATCAAATGTACACCTCGCAATTACAATTCCTTCTATCCCTAAAAAAATCGAAGAAAAGTGTTCAAATTGGCAAAATACATACAAATAAACAACAGGTAATGCGGCGGCGATGACGATGACGGTGGTGGTGATGGTAGTAGTGGTGGTGGTTATGGTAGTGGCGGTGGGGAGCGGGGGTGGGGGCTGTGGTGGAGCGGCAACGATGGTGGTGGTGATGGCAGAAATGACGACAGTGAGGGTGGTAGTGGTAGTAGTAGGGCGGTTCCAAAGGCTACTTTTTTTTTTTTAAAAGTATTTATGAAAAGTTATAAATTCTGGAAACACTTGTAAAAAGTCACTTCAACCACGCCCTTAGGGGACCTATTTTCCTTATCAAATTTAGAGTATTAATATTAGTCACCAAATTAACTTTAAAGTAAAAATTAAGAGATCTCAACCACGAAAAGTAAAAGTTATTTTGTTTATTTTTTGAAATTTCAATTGTATTATACTTTATTATATAGACTAGTTATTGTCTATGCTTGAATGTACAAAATAATAATAAAAAATGGTTAACAGTAGATATATTTGTATTCATATCCAAATTTAAATTACAAACATAGATGAAAGAAAGGAATTTAAGCACCGGTTGTAGTGAGGGTGAAAGGTGGCAATGGAGGTAATGAGAGATGGTGAGATTGTGGTGGGTGGCGACGTCCGTGGTGATAGTGACAGCCATGAGTGACAATGGTGATGTTGGTGATGGATTTTTGGTGACAATGATGGTAATGACAGTCATGGGCGACGACGGTGGTGATTGCGGGCGGTGATGATGGTGGTTGACAATGGTGGTGGTGGGGTGATGACGATGGTGGGCGATGACAGGTGCTTCTGGACAACAGTGTGATGAGTTATGGTAAATAACAATGGTGGTGGTGATAGTAGGTGTGGTGGGGGTGGGTGACGACAGTGGTGGGCGATGACAATTGGTGGTAGGTGTGACAGGGGTGGGTGATAGTGACTAGTGAAGATGGTGAACAACGATGGGTGGTGGTGGGTTGTGATAGTAGGAGGTGATGGGTTGTGGTAATGGGAGGTGATGCGTTGTGGTAGTGGGTGGCGATAGGTGGTGATGAGCAACAATTGTAGTGGTGGGTGTTGATGGTGGGCGACGTTGATAATGATAATAAACATAAGAATAAGATGAAAATTGTGGTGGGTGGTGGCGATGGAAGACAGTCAGTGGCGATAGTGGTGGCGGTGACAACGATGGTGGTTGTATGGTGGTGGCAACGGTGGAAGTGGTGCTGGGGATGACAACGATGGAGGTGGTGATGGGGCGGCTACGATGGCGGCGGTGATGATGGTGGGGCGGTAGGGGTGGTGGTGGTTGAGTGGTTCCAAATACTTTTTTTTTTAAAAGTATTCATGAGTAGTTATAAGTTTTAGAAATATTTTTAAAACACACCCTTAAGGCATCTCCAATCTTTATCAAATTTAGACTCAAATTTAAATTTGAATAAAAAAATTTGAAAAACTTGTTCCAACCTTTGACTCAAACTTATACCAAATTAAGAAAAACTCATTTTTTTACTCAAATAAAAAAAAAACTCAAATTTTTATTCAAATCTTTAATGGTGAGATTTCACCATCTTTTAAAGATCCAATGATTATCCTTACTCCTTTTAAATTTGGGTTTGCCCTAATTTAAATTTGAATCTCTCATTCTTTAAATTTGAATTTATCAATTTGAGTCATTTATATCAAATCAAGTTTTTTACTCAAATATTAATTTAAATTTAAGTAAAAATTTGAATCATGGTTGGAGATGCTCTTAGGGACCTATTTTTCCTATTAATTTTATAGTGTTAATATTAACTGTCGAATTAACTTTAAAATAAAATTTAAAGAGAACTCAATTGTGAAAAATAAAAATTATTTTATTTATTTTTTAAGATTTAAATTATATTATATTTTATTACATAAATATACATCCACCAGATAAACACATAAGTTTTTGTTTCTTCCGTTCCTAAATATTTGTCGTTTTACACAATTTTTTTTGTTTTATAATATCTGTCGTTTAATGAAATCAAAATATAATTAATATTTTTTTTTTCAAATTTACCCTTAACTTTTCAATGCATTAGATTTGGTGGACGCTAAATACCTTTCATTTTTCTTTTCTTCCTAATACGTATTGAATAAGGGCATATTAGTCTTGTGTAATTTTTTTTTATTAATATTAGAGTTATTTAATAACTTCCTTAATATCTGTGCAAAAATTTTAAACGACAAATATAAAAACAGAGGAAGTAATCGAGAAGAAGTACATATACGCCGTTACAGACCCATAGGAGAGACCATAAAAGGTACCTTAACCAAATTAATTATAAAATGTATAACACGACATAACCGCATAAAACTATGTAATGGGCCTCTTACCGTACGTAATACAGGCCGATAGCTTGGCCCAATTAAAGACATTCATCGGTCCAAACAAGCCCATCCGCTGCCGTTAAACTGTGCCCTGGCCTTTCATATGGGCAACACAGATACATCTCTCTCTCTCTCACACACACACACACACACACAGAAGGAGATGGCGAAGAATCAAGCAGCAGATAGAAAAAGAAGTAAAGGGAGATCAAAACTGGGTGATAATAAAAAGAGTATTAAGACGAAGAGCAAGTTTAATGGTAGCAATGGATCTGGCAATAGCAAGGATGAGGATGACCCAGAAGTTTTGGTAGTTCCGTCTTCGAGTGCCGATTCAGAAGACAACGAAAACGAAACCGAAGTGGAAGAAGAAATTGTTGAGGAAGATGAAGAAGAAGCAGAGGCAAAGAGCAGTAACGTTACGAATGAGCGAAGCATCAACAAGAAAGAGGGAACGAAGAAGAAAGAGAAGAATTCGAAGAAAGAGGAAGAGAATTCGAGTAGTTCCTTATATAACATTCCGATGAATCGTGTCAGTCGTATTATTAAGAGTGAATATTCCAATATTCGTATCACTCACGAGGCCGTTTTCCTCATCAACAAAGCTTCGGTATGCCCTAATTTCTTCGCCATATTCTCTTCAAATGTTGTTGAATTAGGGTTATGTCTTATAGGTATGACATTGTCTTCGTATTCAATTATACATACATAATGAACTATTTGTTATGACTTTGTTGTCATAATCTCTTGCCGTTTTTGTCAATTCCTCGTTTCTGTTCAATGTGATTCAAACGACCGATTGTGTTGGGTATTTGTATGTAGGTAAGCTCGCGAACTGGTGTTTTTATGATGCTTTAGTTTGTTCTCTGACTTCCTTCAGATTACCTAAATTAGCAGAAAAAAATGTCCATTTGGTGTAAAACATTGCAATGCAGCAACAACCGAGAAAGTCCTATACTACAGTGTCGTAATTTTGGTGAAACTACACTATCTGCCATGACTACTTACATGACTGAATATAGAGGACTAAATACAATCTGCTGAAGCCTGAACCACAAAGAAAACCCCATTCCAGAAGTATACATTCAATAGATACCCAACAAGCCATAAGATGAAGAAGTATCTGGAATTAGTTGAGTGAACCAGGCTGTACATTAGCAGTCAAACATTGGTTTTTGAATCCAAACTTTCCAAGTCACCTTCCCGGTTGTGCTTGACAAGTACACATATGAAGGATTGAATATCTGGGATTTGTCTTTATAGGTTATACTTCTGTTTCATTCTTATATTGTCACCCTAAATTTCTTTCGGTGGTTGCAGGAGAAGTTTCTTGAATTATTTTGTAAGGAGGGCTATGCTTGTTCTTTTCTGGATCACAAACGTCATGTCAGTTACAAACACCTATGTAATTTCTTGCTCCACTGCTCTATAGGGTTAATTAATTTTATTTTTGACATGAGGTCTCTCCAGTTGTACATTATTTATATGCTCCAATGCAAATCATATAATTTTTCAGCTGTGTTATTATACAATTGATCTAAAGCAAGGTTTTGTTTTGGTTTTTCAGTTAATAACATTAGAGCTATATTTTACCATTAGTGTGATCTTACTAGTCTTGGAATGAGATCTGAAGTCTAACTGAATGTGGTTGCTATCCATCTCTGTATTGTGATGTATGTGAAGAAATTGTAATCAATAGAAGTTTCCCATGGTTCTTTTTCTTAGTTGAAATTCTATTACAACCTTCGTGACACTGGAAATATTATAACATTTAATATTTCTAACAAGCTAAAAGCTAATCGAATGACTTCTCATGCTATCCTGTGGGATTAAAAACAGAGGTTATTGGACATTAATTTTGTAGAATTCCAGTTTTCAGGCAATAATGAGTCTGGAAGACAAAAGCATTCCTTCTCGAAAATTTGACAGAAAACCTTAAATTGATTTTTTTGTCTGAGATTCATCTATTTCTACTTCCGGTAATATTGTTTTTGGAGGTAATTGCAATTATCATCTGAAACCTGTGGCTTGACTACAAAATATCTTTTATATGGTGTTTGATGAGGTGGCAAACCCTGTTAATGCACTGTGTTCTGTTTTACTGGTATTAGAAACTGGATTTGAAGCCACATAACCTGGCTAACTTGTCAGCCTCGTGAATGTGTAGTTCTAGAATCAGTTTATTAAAATTGGATGATAGAAGCATGGCATACTTGTGCTACTCATTCACAGAAGGCGTCAATAATTGCCCAGATGTCCTCGCTTCAATTCCAGTTTCTAAATTCAGTTTCTTATGATTGGATGATAGAATCATCGCAACTTGTGGTAAATTACATTAGCATTGTTCATTTTCAGAGAAGCATTAGTCTTTCTTTTGCATCCCTTATTTGCGTGTTTACATTGTTCATAGTTGTACTTAGACACTTTCTTTCTTTGTCTCAGCGTCGGTGGTTTCTAAACGGAGGAGATTCGACTTTCTTTCAGGTATCTTTTACCAATCCTGACTTGTGACTCCTTACCACATAAATACCCCATATATAAAACTTTTGTAATGGCTCTTCTATTTAGCTTTCAACTGTTTTGTGTTTGTTGCTGCATTTAGATTTTGTTCCTGAGAAAGTGAAAGCTGAGGATGCATTAGCGGAGATTTCATCCCAACATAACCAGGCTGAGACCTAGAGATGACTATTCTACACTTTCCTCATTTGAACAACTTGGATAGTGGGGCTTCCATGTGCTAATTTTGCAGTTTGCTTACTTGGAAGAGGTTGGAGCCATCTTTTGTGCATCTCTTACTAAAAATGCACATTTAGCATATGATGACCATATATATTCTGCTTATGTATGTGGTGTACTCATAAAAGAAAGTTGAATTGTTGGACAAACATGTAGAGTTAACGTGGAGGCATATGGGAACCATTCCATTTAGCCTCTTTGGTATCTATTTCTACTAATTAACTAACCCACTGGAGCAAGTCTCTGTGTAGTTGTATTTTGGGTTAATAAGGTTTTAGCACAAAGTTTCTGGATTCAAAGTGGTAATACCTTGTCAAAAGAATCATTTATCTTTTTAAATAAATATGAACAACTTAATGGTTTGCATATCAATTGGACATTTTCAAATAAGAAGAGTCCTAATTTTGAAAAAAAATGAAAGGCGGTTGTAGTTTGAAAAAATGAATGCTTGATGGTGCTACGATTCCAATAGGTGGCGGTTGTAGTACTATTGGTGGTAGGGGAGGAGACTGCTGGAGATGGTGCCGAAGGCCATTTGTATGTAGTGGTTCCAATTGAGGCAGTGAAATATGATTAACAGTGAAAAATCTATCTGAGTGTCCAATTCCCCTGTAGAGGCGGTGAGTTGAACAGTGAAATAAATTTTTCATTGTTTAAGTTTGAAAAAAAAAATAGTGAAAAAATAAAGAGTAATGCTATTGGAACTCTACAATTTGACTTAATTTGTTGTCGTGATAGTGATGTGGTCTAATAGTATTGTGACTGTAATTTTTAGATTTTTTCACGGGCACTCCATCACTTTATATAATTTTAGCAAATTAGGTCAATTTTATACGTCACAATAGCATTACTGAAAATAAAAATAAAGTGAAATACTTGTCTCAAATTGTAAAATGATTTAATTTTGCTATCCAACATTTTACTGTCCAAAATGAGGGATAAATATTAAGATATTAATGGAAAAATAAAATTTTTCATGATTTGACTCTCAAAAGAATTGTCAAAATTTAAATTCAAGATGTCTGAGTGTAGAACTCACTCCTATTATCACTTGAACTATGCTTTGAGTTAAGATAAAACTATTTCAATCTTGACAATCGTGACTGTGATCTCGCCTTCAACAATTACGGCTGTGATTTTGGCTCTGATGATTGTGTAGAGAACTTAGAACATCTCCAACAAAGTTTTGTAATTTAATTATTTAAAAATTTACTTTTTTTTTTTATTTTAGTTACACATTTTTTCAATACACACTCTAATAGATTTTGTATACTTTTAATTGCTTCCTTTAAATATTATTTTTTATTCCTTTTTATTTGTTTTCTTTTCAACAACTATATTTCAATTATCATTTTCAACAACAAAATTTCTCCAATGACTATATTTTTTAAGGTTCATTTTTTTAATGGCTGTTGAAAGTATTGTTAAGATATATTATAAAATATTAAAACATTTAATTAAAGAGCATCTTTTTTTATTTCTTATTTTTTATTAAAAATATGAAAATCTTAAAGAGGAGTAGAGAGAGAATATTATAAAAATATGAAAATATCATAAAATATTGAATATCTAAATAGTAAAATATTATAAAATATTGTTTAAAGATAAGGAGTGAGAATATATTATAACTATTTATATATGATGCTATAGTGCTACTATAGCAAAATTATATTTTATCTACTCTGAGTATTTTTTATTGGAGTCTCATTTTTATCTTTTGGGTAGCTAAATTTTAGTTATTTTAAAGTTTTAGGGAGATATGGAGAAGAAAGAGAAAAGATAGAGAGATATGGAGAAGAAAGAGAAAGGGAGAGCTGACCTAACTCTCTCTCTCTCTCTCTAAAAATTAGAAATTTCAAACTACACCCATTGCACTGAATTTATATTAGAGCAGCCAGCAAAACCAATGCATCAATCATGACTATTTAAAAGAAATTTTACAAAGGGACTCACACAGTTTAAAAATATTTAAAAATAATACATTCTTATTCAAATACATATACTGGTAATAACAATAGCAGTTACTTTTGCAATTTTTAATTTTTTTTAGCAAAATTAAAACTCATAAATCCAATTAACAACAAATCATATATCATAAGAAACTTGGAAAAAATCAATCATAGTATCCATTGAAAATGATATATTTGTAATACTTGAATATAAAAATAATCATTAATTTTGCATCACACAATGAGAATCATAACTTTTAATCAAAACTATAATATATTCATATTTGAAAGGGTCCTGATTAAAAATGGGCCCATAGACAAAGATGTTATTTGAATTAGTTTATTGGCTCCATACTCGAAACTGTTTGGAGGAAGCTTTAAAAAAGTGGGAGAGAGTTATGGTTAGAGTGTCAAAATATGACATGAACCGATAAACATGATACAAAATTATAAGAATCGGATCATTCTTAAACTATCTGTTTTGTAAGTGAGTGAATTCGATATAACACAACACGATTAAGATATAAATCTGATATGACACAATTCGTTAAACACGAATTAATAAACGAATTGGGTAAGAGTGAAGTATTTTTTGATATGAACCCGTTAAGATCCGACACGAATCTGTTTCATCGAACATGATTAACAAATCTAGTTACCGGTTACAAGAGTTAAATACATTTTCTTAACTAAATCCTTATTTTTAGTAGATAAAAATGTGACACGCGTGTATTTTTTTTTCAACCAATAATTTATGTAACATTCGAGTCAAAATTAACATACAGATCACCTACCAAAAAAAAACCAAATCAAACCAAACTTGAGAATTTGGAATGTCGAGACAGAAACTGAAAAATGTCTAGCAATCTGAACGATGACTACATTATTGGCAACCATCATCTTCATGGTTGGGTTTTGGGCAATCCAGCAGCTCAGGGGTCATATCAAGGAGGTCCGTACTTGATACCAATACCTCCTTAATCCATCGTGTCCACTTTAGCTGTGGACTCAAAAGAGTCACAGGCTCACAGTAAGTAGACCATCACTCCTAGAAAAAAACAATAAAAAGCACAAAACTTTCTAAATGCACTGATGCAGTATTCGAACACCTTTCCTTGTGATTGCCAACTCGATCTCTTTTTGTCAAGTTTCTTCCAGACTGCAGCCCCTCGCCCCCTCCCCCCTCCCTCTGACAGTTCACAATCTCTCTCTCTCTCTCTTCTCTAATCTACTATCTCACTCTCTTTTGTAGCTAACGTACATAATTCTAAATATGGGTGGTCTAATTTTTTTTTTTTTTGAACACGGAAATGGATGGTCGATTGCACAAGGTTATTTCTACTATAAGATCTGAAAAGAGTAAGACTCCTATTACTGCAAGATTTGAGAAGGTCGAACTAGTCATTCTTATCCCTCATATGGCGAGTTTATTTCTGCGCCTCTAATAAGCAACTACTCCATTGCAACAAGACCCACCCTTCCTTCGGGCTATCAGGAATATGATGTTCAAAATTACTTATAAGCTACCCATGGAGGGAGGTCAGTCGCTTTTATTGTACTGGTGGCTTAAGTTCATGGCTGCACCTAATGAAGCAATGTTGGCCAGCTGATCTTGTTGGAAGAACCGTCTGCTTTCATTCACTCCTACACCCAGAAAATCTCTGGTCAGACGACCTTCAACTTCATTGCCTTTTGATTTGCTTTGGTTCCCATTAGTTGATGGAGTAATCATGAGAGGGTGGTCTAAATTCTTAGTGCCATCCACAAATGAGCTCGAGTTCAATTGACCCAACAAAAACCCATCTCCACTGTTTCTGTCTCGTGATGAACCAGATTTAGAATTCAGAAATACATTCAAGTTCTCGGCTTTTTGAACTTGATTTCCACTTGGGTTCAAAGGATTGAAGTTGGAAAGACCGGAGAGAGATGAGGTCATCATGAGTCCAAACCCAGTGCCAAATAGTGCTGATGAATTGCTTCTTGTTGAACCCATTTGGGCTGCTTTCTGCAAAAGGGCAGTAGCAGACATTTGAGCTGGTGTTGTTTCATGGTGATTCTGACTACTGTAATACAATGAGCTCATAGTGTTCGACAAATTTCGTTTGTCCTCTTCTTCCTCTTTCAATACTCGTGGCATTGCTGGAGACAAAAGATTTGCACCTGTGAATGAAGCTTCTTGGCTCCTATTGAACCACTGGGTCTCTGGTGACAATCCCAACATATTTGCCGGCGCCATTTGAGCCATTTCCGGCAAGCCGGTGCAGCTTGATGTTAAGAAAGCATTAGAATTACCTGGAATTCGGATGGGGTTTTGATGAGAATTGGCATTGTCCAACCACAGTGGTAGTTTAGATTTCTGCCCATCATTAATGAGTTGGCCGGGCAATTCTAGGCCGGTGAATTCCGGCCGAAAAACTGACGGAATTTGTGGATTCCCAACGGATTGAGGATTACCAAGTGCTCCATTAAGCAATTCATTTCTGAAGTTTAGATTTGCTGGTGGAATTGAAGCGAACCTTGCACTTTCTTCAGCTAATGCATCACAGAAGGCCCTATGGGTGATGAAGCTGTCCTTTCTGTAGGACACAAACAAATCCAACTCAACTATCTGAAATATAAACTTTTTTTTTTCTTCTTTCTAATCACATCAAATTCACATAGGAAGCTGTTATGAACATGCAGTGTGAGAGATAATCAAAAGATAAAAATAAAATTTAAGAACAATGAAAATTAAATTTTAGCTCCAGTTGCTTTTTATCTATATCCATGAGTTGGAAGGCTCCTCTATAAGAGAGGGCCGAGGAATAGAACAGAAATTCTGAAGAATCACTACAGATAAATGAACAGAACTCCTAATAAAGAATGTGAAATACAACCCTTTGGTTTGGTCAAATCGCATTAAATTCACATGAATGCTCTACAAACTACAAGAGTGAGCATTTATTTCTTCAACAAACTAATCATATAAAACATCGAATTTTAGACCAAACTGAACAAACAAAAAAAATGTCTGAAGAACAAAGTACCTAGAGAAGAGTGTTCCACAGTCACATTTGTACTCTCTAGTCCCACAAATCTTACTATGAGCCTTCCAATCCGACTGAACTGCATATTTCTTGGAACATTTCTCACACTTCCACTTCTTCTCTCCATGCTTTCTGCTGTAATGCTTCTTTATTCCGGTGAGGTCTCCGAGAGCTCTCGCCGGATCGTGGTGGATGCAGCTCTTCTCCGGGCATATGTACACTTTCTTTCTGATCACCTCCTTGTTGGTTCTTTGCTTGAGCTTCCATGGCAGATTGTGACCTCTTCTGTGTAGCTGCAAATTCTGGTCTCTCTGAAAACCCTTGTTGCATATTTCGCATATGAATCGATTCGTCGCCATTAGAGACTTTGGAGACAAAGCTATCACTTCTGCATCTGGATCTGATTTAAAACCAACAATAAAAACAAAACAAAACAGATAATAATAATGATAATCCAGGAAAGAAGAAAAACTGAAAGAACAGAACAGGATTGGATGTGTAATGATGAAGTTTAGCTTGCCTGGTGTTCCTGGGAGATTTCTCTTTCTCTTTGCTTGATTTGAACTAGAGCCAGGGTTAGGGTTTGGCTCTGGAATAATGGACCCTGTAATAGAAGAAGGAACTGAAGAAAACCCATCATCGGACATCATTGTGCAACTGAGTTTGAAGCTACCTTGGTGGGTTTGTCTAAAAGTAGATAGTAAACAGAAGTTACAGAGACCTAGAGGAACTAACTCAAAAGCTGAGAGGGTAATATATGCTATATATATACCAACCCAAGAGGAATAAGAAAACAAAAGATTTGCTGATGATAGAGAGATGTTTCCCTAGCTTACTCAAAACTTTCCCAGAAAACAAAGTGAACCTAGAGGAGGATTTGGTTTCAGCCCTCTAAACTCCAACTTTGTTTGGTTTTTACAGAGATTTTGCTCACCCATGATTGAATCTTCGGAGAAAATTCCATATACCATGGAAGCTAGGCTAAAGAGAATATTTTTCTCTCTCTGCCTTTCACCCTCATATATTCCTTATCTTACACGGCTTCTTTCTAAAGTCCGGTCAGCAGTAGACTCAGCTGGACCACTCTCTTCTCTCTCTAACACAGACATACACATACTCTCTCTATGTATATGGGCGTGTATAGACATCTCCAATTTGAATGACGATCACTGACGTTATAATTAATTTAATATTTTATTTTATTTTAATATCTCCGCTGTCCCAATAATTAACAAAACCTTTTTGTTCACAGAGCGGATTAAGAGTTATATTATTAGCACATAATTTAATGATCTAATTTATTATGATTTTTAGATTGACGGTTGGTTTGATTCAATGATTTCATTGAAGTCATATCATTATATTAACAAATTAAATTAAAATTTTAAATCCAAATAAAATTACTCATGAATTAATACTAAAATTTGTGCAAAACTATCCTTTTACGTGAGAGGTAAATATGTGGGCCAGGGTCCTAAGGAATTAGATTTCTTGGGATATTCAAATTTTTGAGAGTATCTCTAATCATGATTTAAATTTAAGTTAATATTTGAGCAAAAAATTTGATTTGATATAAAGGGCTCTAATAAACAAATTCAAATTTAAAAAACGAGAAACTTAAAAATTTAAACGAGAGTTTTTTTTTTAGATTTTTAAAAGAGGGTGAAATCTCACAATTAAAAATTTGGATAACGATTTGAGTCTGCCTTAATTTGAGTAAAAAAAAAAAGTCTTACTTGATTTGATATAAGTTTGAATAAGGGTTGTAACAAGTTTTTTAGATTTTTTTTTAAATATAAATTTGAGTTTAAATTTGAATCAGAATTGGAGATACCCTAACCTATCCCTAAAGAAAGGTTTATTAGATGATTGAATTACCACTAAACTAATCAAGATTAATTAATTTAATATTGCTGAGAGATCAATGTATGATTGTGTTGCCGTTTCATAGGGCCGACCTTTTATATTTGTAATTATCCATTAATCACTTGTAATAAAATTAGAATTTGCTGCAAGAATTTTTTTGTTTTTACTATACTCTTATTAATTGTTCTATTTTTTTTTTCAAATTTAAAGCAGTTCTCTTTTGGGATGTGTTACAAGCTCAGCCTTTCCTTTTTCATTCTCATGTTTACCAACCGAAAGACCACCACAATCTATTATTGAATCGTTAGATCACATGTTTAAATCTCGCCCAACCCTCCTTTAAAAGTTTCAAATAATTACAAAAAAAAAAAAAAAATGCAAAAGTTGCATTATTTAACGAAAGAAAGATGCAAACATTATAAAATAAAGTTTAAAAGGTAGATCTCAAAAAAAGTTTTGTTGGAGAAAAGTGGACTGCCTTTACAGCCATTCATCAAGTAAAGAATGATTATGCTATAATTGTTTTTGGACCATCGACAGACACGTCCAAACAAAAAAAAAAAAAAAAAACAAGAGAGAGAGAGAGAGAGCAATCCGTGAAGTCCTGGCTGCAGTGGGGATTGAGTTGAGTTGGGGATTAGGTGGATATGGCATAGAACCCACCAGACTGTCATAGTCATATCTATAAAATTGAATTCTCGAAATTATAAAACTAATACAACAATTAAATTTCATCTAATTTTTATTTGATTTAATAGTACTAGTAATAACTTGTATTTAAAAACACTTTGCAACTTAAAAAAATATTTAATTTAAAACAATTTTTCCTTCATTTGCTTTAATTAAATAAATTGAAATCAATCTAACGCTTCGCTATTTTTTCAAAAATTTTTAGAAGAATCCAAAAATATATCGACTTATTTACAGTGACATCAATTGTATTATTGCCCAATACAAACAATTGTATAATCAATCTTAAGAATAAATTATTCAAACCTAATCTAAAAGCGACATATTTTAGTCACTACGCAAATCTAAATCAAAATAACATTTATATTATAGTAATAATAGTTACAGTCACGTGTTATACATACAAGTCCAACCAAAGAATTGTCATAATAGTAAGAGAGACAGCCTAATCACCAAAATAACCGTTACAAACCCAGTTATCAATTCCCGTCAAACCAAATTTATGGTCATACCTCACTTCGTCTTTCTCATCAGATTTTTAGAGTTGCCAATCGCTATTGGAAGCTATGTTTTCTTCACTACAGTAACAAACAAAACTTAAATATAAGATTTATGAGGCTCTAAACAAATTCACAATTCAAGAAAAATGTCCACTTTCATCAATGCCGACTTAAAATGCCCAGTTTCTTCTTCAATAAGAGGTATCAATAAAAAAAACACTAGTGACGTTGTTGATTTGTCAATTAGGGGATCATACTCATATCCATACATACACAAAATGCTCAAACACCTCATATGCATTTTATCAAATACGTTACATACAAATCGTCAAACACCTTACATGCGGTTTATAAAATTAATACTCATTTAATTTCAACAATCCGAAGGTGGTCTTAGAGGGTAAAAAAAAATAAGGGATTAAACAACCCTAACATCCAAAAACACTACAAATATTATTTTATGAAATTAACACCCAACATTAAATAAAAAACACTAAAAAAATATATTACAACCCCATTTAATGAAAAACCCCAATTAAGCACCCAATTTAATTACCCTAAAATACATTCAATTTATAATTTCACAAAAACATCTTTCATAAAAAAATCAAATTTTAATTTCACAAACCCAATTTCATGAAAAATCCAATTTGTGTGTAGATGTGTGTGTGTGTGTGGTCTGTGTGCGTGTTGGTGCATTGAGCAAAGTCATCTCGGATTTTTTAAGTGAGCGATAGAGAGATCATTTGGGTTGAGTGGCCGTTGTTAGGGTGAGCCATGAGAGAGAGAGAGAGAGAGAGAGAGAGAGGCAACTGGGTTGTGCGTCATTAGTTTTTGGGGTTTGGTGCTATGGGTTTAATTTTTGGGGTAGAATTTTGGAATGAATTATGGTTCATTTGATCAAAATGGATAAATTGAAGATTATTGGATTAAATTAGATGAAATGTGAACCATTAAAATAAAAACAGATGAAATTTGAGTTGTCCTTGTGCTTTTCCTGGGAATTCAAAATACACTCTATCTTATTAGCATAGATAAAATTTATTTTAATTTTTCTTTGCTAAAAAATATCATATTTTTTACACTAACTCTCAATATTAAATAACTCAATTAATATACTCTCCAATACTAAACAACTTCACTAATTCACATCTATTATTCTCTTATTTTCTCGTTATTCACTTTAATTTAAAAAATACATAATTAAATAAAAGTAAAAAATAAATTTTTATTTAAAATATAAATATTATACAATAAACAGTGGCGGATCCACAGTGGGGGCAACTGCCCCGACTGAAATTTTAAAATTTTTTGGGGATTAAGTATAATTTTAAAAAATTTAGAATTTATTATAGGTTTGCCGCTATTGATTTTTTTTTAAAAGATTTAAGGGTAGTTATGTTATTTTGAAAAATATATGAGTCTCACCTGGAAATATCAATGGAAGATAATATCAAAAATTTGGACATTTAAAGATTAACTAATATGTTATGAAATCGTTTAATCCTCTAATTTGTTTTATGTTTATATATTGAACTAAATTTAGGGCTTGTAGTCCTCTTCTTTGTTTTATGTTTATATGTTAGAATTGAAAATTGGGATTTGTAGTCCTCTTTTGTGGTTTGTTTTTTAAATGTTGAATTGAAATTAGTGTATGTAGTTCTGATTTTATTTGTTACATGTAGAATTGAAAATATGAAATTGGGGCTTGTAATCATCTCTTATGTTTTATTTTTTATGTATTGAATTGAAACTAGGATTTGTAGTCCTGTATTTATTTATTTTTCTATGTTGAAATAAAATTGGGGCTTGTAATCCTCTTCTATAATTTATTTTTTTATATATTTAATTGATATTTGGGTTTGTAGTCCTCTCTAATATTTTATTTTTATATGTACAGTTGGAAGTAGGATTTGTAGTCGTCTCATTCGTTTTATTTTTATTTGTATAATTGGAATTGAGACTTGTAGTCCTTAATTATAATTAGACTAAATTATTTTGATTTGCTAGTTTGAATAGTTTTATTGTGATAAGTTAAATATTTCATATATCTAGGTTTAGTTTACTAGAATAATTATAGTTTACGTTAGTTTCGATTGTTTGTTAAAATTTAATGATGAATATTAAGTTTGTGATTGAACAAATTAATTTTTGAATTAGTTATGAAAATTTTTCTTAAAATTTAATATATGATTGAGTCCAATTTTGTGGTTCAAAATTTTTTTGTTAGGTCTTATAGATAAATCTATAATGAGTTTTTTTTGTTGGATCGTGTTGTATATCGCTCATCTATATGAATTACATTTTTAATTGGTGTTCTATTAATAAAACTATATTTTTGTGAATCTTTTAAATTTTAATATTAATATAATTTAGGTTACCCCCACTAAAAAAGATGTCTGGCTCCACCCTTTATAATAAATGCTCAATTTTTAATATTACAAAGTGACTTTAAACACGAGTTAATTCTAATATATATATTGGTTATGTGAGCCATAAAGTTCAATGCCTTTGGTATCAAAATGTAATTTTTTAATATTAATTTTGTTTTCATTAGTAAAAATGAGATACATGTAATATTTTTTAAATTTCCTATTTTTTAAGAGTATGATTAGTGACACTAAAAAATTTGTCATTAGCAAGAGAATGGTGGAAAAAGGGGAAAAGAGAAAAGAGAAACAAAAATAAAAAATTTGTCGTTTGTTTAGCAAGAAACGAATGTTTCTCAGGTAAATTTTTTTTCCCGTATTTGATGATTTTTTATTTCCCACAAAATCTGCATGAAATTTTTTTTTTCCCATGAATGTTGGTTATCTGTGTTTACTGTTTATCAATCTGCCCCTATTTTAGCACACCACAACTCCTCTTAGCACTCATCTTCTCAGCAAATTATCTAGAGTATATTGCGTAAATGTTACATTCTATTAATTTATGGACCTAATAATTGGCGTTGGGTTATATGGGCAACTCAAATTGTGCCTTGCAAAGTCAATTAAAAAATAGAC